TTGATATCATGCACACAATATATGATTCAAACATTCATGATATTCTTAATATTTTATTATAAGTCATTTGATATTCAATATCTCAACAACGCTCTTAAATTATTCTTAATCTAAGGCCCCATCATTTTACAATCAGCTCTTAGATATTCCTAGTCTAAGGCAATATTTCTAACCAGGCCCTTAAACTATAAATAGTTTAATGCTGAACACAAGAATCGATAATCCACCATATGAGTTATGTGGATTACGTACCAAACCGAACAGTGAACTGTCGGGTGGGTGATATCCGGTCTGGATCTCGTATTTACGTTTTAACCCCGAATTCTGAATTGGTCAAGGAGGTATATCTTAGAGTTCTTCTAGATATTCTTAATAATCATCATCATTATACAAGTGGGTATATCTTAGAGTTCTTCTAAATATCCTTAACAATATATGTAACACCCCACCCTGGATGACCCGAGTCATCTAGAACAAAGTGCTAGTAAAACCCGATTGCTTTGTAAAAATATTATTTATCCAAAAAGAATATATATATTCTCTTTTTATAACTAAAGAGAATTAAAAAAAACATTTTTCGCGTAAGCTTAAAGTAAAAACATCCACAGTTAATACAATCTTGGCTTCAAGCCCAAAAACATTGTAAATTAAGTTCGATGCTTACTCTAGTTTTTTTAAAACCCTCGGCCTTCTTGTTTATAAAACCCAAAATGTTTTTTTCCCTTTTTCCTTTTTATACTCTAGTTTTTTTAACCCACGGCCTTTTTGTTTATAAACCAAACTTTTATATTTTTTTAAACTACTGCCGTATATATATTAATCATTATAATAACCAACCCTTTCTTTTTTTGCTATCATTTTCTTCCCTTAACCTTCGGTTATGATAATTTTTTTTTTAATTTAAAAAAAAGTACTAATGATAATAATAACAACAATAATAATAACAATGATAATAAAGAACAAAAGGTTCATTCTTTATCCATTACCGAAAGTGTGCAATTACACTTCTCTTTTTGTTTCTTTTTTTTTGAAGCCAAGTGAAATTTGTGTGCAACATGTATATATTTTTTATTATTATGATTATTATCTTTCTCTTTTAATTTATTATCTAAAGGAGTAAATTCATGTAAAAAAAGTAAAAGGAAATGCACAAAAATATATTAACATGAAATATATATCTAAAGGTTAGGGTCAACGGCACACCTTAAGTATCGGTTTTGACAAAACAATAGTGGGACAAATCTTGGCGGAATAATCCCGTGATGCGTCTCCCGCGTATCTCCCTTCCAGCAACACCACAACCCCGCTCCTACTAGCCCACTCCCTCTCCTTCTACTTAGCTATGAATATATATTTTTTCCAAAATGATTATGTGTTCTACCTTCCTAAAGAACCCTATTTATAGCGTGGGGAGAAGGTGCTAGAAAGTGATGGGAAGATGGATGGTTGTTAAATAAATAAAATATTATTTAATTATTTTTAAATTAAATTATTAAAAGCAAATTATTAATCCTCTTAATGAGGTAAAATGAATGATGGAAGGGAGGTTACAATCCATTGTGGCGTGAGAAATGGAGGGGAAAACAAAAGGTTTTTTTTCCTGCTCTGTTGGTTTAGTACTACGTGTCTGATTTTCCAAGTTTCAATTTTCCAATTTTTTTGAAAAATATAAAATTTATACCCTTGGATTCCATATTTTTGACACATCATTTTAACATAATTTGTTTTTCAAGAAAATAGGTTCACTCGAACAAACTATATTATTTTCATAGTAGAGAACCAAACTATTCTTTTTATTCCCTTTCACTTTATTCTATTTTTTTCCATCACTACTAGTACTTAATTGTTTAAATTAAATCCCAGATTGTTTCTAAATAAACAATAGGAACATTTTTTAAATTTTATTATTATTATTATTATTATTATTATTATTATTATTATTTTTCGTATATTTTTATTTTATATATATTTTTTTTAATTTCTTTGTACTAGAAAGTTAAAATTTCTAGACCGGTTTTCAAGGCGTTACAATATACACCGTTTTCATGATCACCATTATATTCATTTTTTAATCATGATTTAATCATCAATAATCATTCTAACCAGTAAGTTTATCATTCATAATTATCCTTACTAATTATTCATCATAATGATCATTCAACATAACGTTTAATAACAATTAGCGGCATAGTCTCGAGTGTTAACACTCGAACTTACCGTCATGCATCACATAATGTTTTAATTTGTTAAAAACATCATTTTTATTATGAAAAATCATTTATATAATGATCATAATCAATCGGTATCAAAAATAGGATTTTATAGCCCAAAAATAGCCTTTTCAGACAAATTTTCGGATTAGAAATTTCGGAGGATCGATCCAGCGCTCTAGATCGATCGAACTAGAAGAAAAACTCCCAAAGGATCGATCCAGAGCATGTGATCGATCCTGAGAGTAGTTTTTCAGCTACTGTCCATTCATCTTCAACCTCGGTCCATTTTTCGAAAAAAACCGTTTTTAGTCACCGAACTTCAATTAAACAATATAGAGATGTTCTCCAAGGTTCATAGATCATTTTAGAATCATTAAATCATATTTTTAACATCAAATTCAAGGTTTATGATTCTTAGTTCTTTGAACATGTCAAACACAAAACTCAACCAAATGACGATTTATGAACGTAGAAATGACCTATATGAACATTCTAGTCATTAGATATATCTACGGGCTTAACTCGAAGCGTAATGGAGGTTTTGAATATTTTCCGGCGAAACTTCCGGCGACTATTTCTCACTGCTCCGGCAACCTCACACAAAGATGACAGCACCACTGCACTCTACTCTCAGCAAGGAACAATATAGAAGGAAGAATGAGTTGTTTTGGTGTGGAAATGGAAGAATTGGCTCTCCTTAAATAGCCAATAAAGGAGGAAGAAGACAGGGAGTTGCAGCTTCCTTGATTGCACGATTATTGGGATTTTGGAATCAGCGTAATTGAACAGGGCACCGTTTGGTATGTAGTCCCTGATTGGGACTAATATTTGGTCCTAGTCGGGGTACACTTTTTGGTCCAACTTTCTCCAAATTGAAATCCGATTGAACCGTTGGGATCAGACAGTCAAACTCTATATAATGAAATAATTTTCATTATTTATTGATAAACTTTATAAATCACTTATTTTTGGGTCCTTCTGAGTAATTAATTACTTATCAAATAATTAATTCTGATAGGCCTAATTTCGGGGCATTATAGTCTGCTTCCTGGATCAAGTCACATCATTCTTTCTATTAACCTGTGTGTAGCAAATAAAACATATTACACGCTAAGTGTTGAAGCTGAGTAAGCATATCTAATAGATTGAACATCCATATAAATTGAATCTAAACTCATAATCAAATCATTTGATATCATGCACATAATATTCAATTCAAGAAATCATCATTCATGATATTCACAATATTCAATTCATGTCATTTATCATTCATGATATTCACCATATTCAATTTAAGTCATTTATCATTCATGATATTCACAATATTTAATTCAAGTCATTTATCATTCATGTTCAACATTCATAGTGTAAACCATGCTCATAAACTATTCTTGGTTTAAGGTGATTTTATTCTTATATTAATTACTCCCTCCGTCCTAAAACTTTCTTCCCAGTTCGCAAAACGAAGAAAAATCCCAAGTTTTTTTAATCTATTTTATTTAAATATTGGTATAGAAATAAAAAATAAACATACATATTTAAAAACTACATCAAAAGTTCAACAAAACAAGTGGTGACAAGAATATTTTATTTTATCATATAGGCCATGAAAAGATACAAATAAATATAAATTCCCGTGAAGTTGGAATAGTGCACTAGGAAGAAAGTTTTAGGACGGAGGGAGTATAGTTTAAGGTATTTCTAAGCAACCCTTAAACTAGGCCTAGTTTAAGATACAAGTTTTCAAAAGGATTTTCAAAATCTAAAAACTTACCTTCGCTTAAGGTCAACCAGAAACCAAATAGTGGAATGTTCACTGTCAGGTGGGTGGTACCCCCAAACGAGTAAGTAATCAAGTTTGGTATGTGGATCCGATATGTACGTTTTAACCCTGGCCACCGGATATCATACCCACAAGGCCTAACTAAATGGGTATATCTTAGAGTTCTTCAAGATACCCTTGAAATCAATATCAATTAACTAAAATGGTCATTTAGGTATATATCTTAGAGTCTTCTAGATACCCTTCAAAATCAACATCACTATGGGTATATCTTAGAGTTATTCTGAATACCCTTAACAATACATATTATTTTCATAATCATCAATACATTCATTTTAATCATGGTTCAATCATTAATAATAGTCATTTTAATCATTGGGTACATCATTCATAATCATCTATAATAATCATTCATCATAATCATCAACCAACATAACATGTAATAGCAAATAGCGGCCTAGCTTCGAGTGTTGACACCCCAGCTTACCATCATGCATCACATAAAGTTTTATTTGTCAAAAACGTCATTTTTCTTAGGGAAAGTCATCCTTATATTGATCATAATTGATTGGTATCAAAAATAGGATTTTAGAGCTCAAAAATAGCATTTTCAGAAATATTTTCGAAGCAAAACTTCGGGGGATCGATCAATACTATAGAAAAATACTCCCAAGGGATCGATCCACCCACCTGGATCGATCCTCTCTACTATTTTTTTTATTTTACCGTTCATTTTCTTCTTCGTTCGGCCATTTTTCTCCAACTCAATTTTTGGTCACCAAACTTCAATTAAATTATGTAGAAATGTTCTCCAAGGTTCATAGATCATTTTGGTATCATTAATTCATAGTTTTAACAACAATTTCATGGTTTATGATTCTTGGTTCTTTAAACATGCCAAACACAAAACTCAACCAAACGACCGGTTATGAACGTATAAATGATCTATACGAACATTCTAGTCACTAGATATATATACGGCCTTACCTCAAAGCTCAACGAAGGTTTTGAGAATTTTCTGGCGAAACTTCCGACGAGGATTGTGGCTAGTTCCGAGGACTTCACACGAAATTGACAGCACCACAATATTCCTCACACTCTCAGGACCATAATTGGAGAAAGAATTGGAGATTGGTGGAGGAATGAAGTATTTAAGCATGCCTTATATAGGAGAGAAAGGAAGGAAGGAGACAAGGATGTACGTAATGGTGAACAGCGAATACTCCTTAGTGCGTCGGGCTGCAATTGAGTTCCTATTACTACGTCTCTCCCTAATTGGGACTAAGTTTGGTCCTAGTCGGGGCAAACTTTTTGGTTCAATTTTTTCTGAATTAAAATCCGTTTGCACCATTGTGATCAGGCATTTAAACTTTATCCAACGATATAATATTTATATTTATTTGTAACTTGTTTCCGACATCATATTTTGGGGTGTTTGATTTAGGCAGAGTCAAAATTGATTCAATTGACCTTTATTCAAAAAGGTTCTCTCATCCAATTCATATTATTCATTCTCATGATTTATTTCAATTAATCATTACAAAGTTCACATCATAAACAAATTCTTCATTTATTCTTAACTTGGGTCTATATTCAGGTTCACAATCAAGGTCACACAATAAGTCAACATATTGGATTTATCTTTATGAGATTTATCCAGATTGTGATATTAGATATCAAAAATATTTCATTTCAGCCCAAAGCCTAACAATAATTTATTTTAGTCAAAACAAATTTGATTAATTAACTAATTATTTATTATTAATTTTAGGGTATGTTTTGGGGCATTACATGATAAACGCTGCTTCCTCTGAGATTTTTTCTTATATAAATCTACTTAAATTTTAGAAAATATGGACTAGCATTTATTATAGAAACGATGGTGTCGACTCGCCTTAGGTGGTTTGAATATGTGGAGACATAAGAGTTACTACCTCCGTCCCAGAGTATTTGTCCACTTTGATTTTTACACACCATTCAATACACTTCTTTAATCCATTTTATCTTATAATTTGTATTTTAAAAAATTATAGAAATTATATTTTAATAATCTATATGTTAAGACAAATCAAACAATATCACACATGACTATATTTAAGCTTACTCATTGAGAGAATTTGATGAGTCAAAGTGCTTAGATGAACAGTTCCAAAAGTCAAAGCTGGACAAATACTCCGGGACGGAGAGAGTATATCGTTGGGTAAAGATCGACAAATCGAATCCAACGACTCGAACAGAGAGCAAATTAACCTGAAAAGTGGGTTTTATATACACTCAATTTAAATTGCGGAGTAGAAAACCCTAGAACAGAAAAAAGAGATTTTCGCCTATTTCTTTCTCCTGGATCGAAGACTCCCCGGCCGCCTCTCATCTTCTGTCTTCTTCTTCGAGCGGCGACGACGGCAAGGAGGTCGGCAACAGCGCCAACCGCAGCGCATCACCGCCAGGGACGTCGCGAGCAACCCCGACGAAGGTGACAACCTGGACAGGGACATCAACCTCGACGAATCTGACATTAGATTGGAACCAGCGTGGTCTACCGACGATTCTCTGCGAACAATCCGGCGACCACCATTACCGGAGATGACGACGGCCTTGGGACACAACGGCGAACAGCAACACCGAGGCACTGAAGAGGATTGACCGGCCACCGACGACGAGAGTTCCGGCGAGGGCTACTCCTCCACTCCGGCGAAACAGCAGGGAGTTCCGGCGAGGGCTATGCTCTGCTTCGTTGAACCAGCCCCGGCTTCCTGCAACGCACCTCTGATCCGGCGGCCATGGACAGCGGAGGGTTGGACAACGATGTTGTTGGACAATGGTGGCGTGGATCAGGGTAACTCCTCTCAGCTCTGTTGACTTCCGACAGTGATGACCGTTGGTTTGGGGCAATGAAGGTAGTGCCCGAGGAGCATTAGGCAGCTGGCGTAGCTCCAGCAACCTCTGGCGTAGCTCCAGCAACCTCGAGCCCCGATGAGCGATTCCCGGCAGCCGTATTGGAAGGGGTAACGAAATATGGTTTCTCCAACGACATCGTTTGGGTGAAGTTCTCTTGAGTCAATCGAACAAACAAGGTGAGTACGTGGATATCTAACACTAGAATATGCATATATGTTTGAAATTGCGTTCATAGTTGTTATCGTGATTAATCTGTGTGGAATACTTAAATGAATTGCTTGATTGTGGTTTCAGGGATTATATTGATTGAAAAGGGTAGAACACATGATTTAGGTGTTGTTTGATTATTCAATATATACGTTTGATGAATTGTTATGTTCTGTTTGGATTCATTGACGGATGACTTTAGCTGGGTTTGGAATTAAGTCAAGAACATATCCATGTGGAATGTTCAACGTTTAAATGTTGGTATGATGCTGAAAAACAAAACAGGTACAAAGCTGGAACTTGTTGCGTCGGACGGTTGGCGGTATCGCCATGATGGTATTGTGGTACCGCCACACTCTGTTGGTTATGTTCGCCTCTGCCGATAGCTGTGACCGTACGGTACCTAGGTACCGGACTGACAGTAGGCCCCACCGCCCGTCAGTAGTCGGCTACCGTGGTAGTCTTACCGGAAGGGTCCAGTTAATTCGAACGGTACCTTATGATTGGTACCCAGGTATTGTGAAGGCAGTACCCCGTACCATGAAGGGTACCGTCTGGTACCTGATGCCGGGTCTATCGATATGTGTTTTTGTCAAAGATTGATTTCGAGACCTTATGTGTGCATGACGATAAGTTTGGGTGACAGTACCCAAGACTAGGCTGCTACATGTTATGATTGTGACTGTTCTGTGTTGATCTAACACTTATGAACTGATATTGTTATGGTGATCCAACCTTGAATCCAATAATAAGAGCGGGCTGATCCAACACGCGAAGCACATGTTACATGGGTGTTGATCCATCCCCATGAGCCAAAATAAGTCTACCTAGAGGAACTCTAGGATTGACTCAAGTACTAGGATTAGGAAAGTAAGAGTATATAAACTAGCTGGATGCCTGTTGGGCTCTAATGGTTAATTAAACCGGGTAAAAACGTACGTATGGGCATCCTTGAATTGCCTGGTGATCCATGGGGATTCCACCCACCCAACGGAGAACACCTTCATTGGTTGAGCATGACCTGCTGATCCAGTGCAAACCATCATTCTCCCAAGTAAAGTAGTAAGACTGTAGTTCATCATAGCTAATAGGATAGGTTTTTGGTGATCCACCAACCGTGAGAACCCCTTTGTTGGTTGAGCATGACCCGTTGATCCAGTGGGAACAACCATGACTCTAAGAAAAGTAAGAATTGAAGTACTTAGTATAGTATAGAGTACAAGTACATATGAATGGTGATTCACCATTGCAGGAAACACTCCGTTTTGATGAGAATGGAAAAGGGGAGGTGCCAGGTAAATTATGTGATGAATTGTTTAATGAGATCGAAATCTATAAAGAAAACCTATGATATAAACAACAAACGTATTCGCATATAAATATATTAAAGATTCCTCCGTTATATCTAGGGTGTACATACCTTGGATACGACACAACGTTAGAAGGGACCGAATGAAATTCAGTCAACGAACGGTTGTCAAATCGTTGACCTTCCGACTTCCCTACGGCTTCTTGAGTTCCGTTTCTTCTTGCAAATATGTTATAGGGGTTGTGAAGAGTCAACACGCATTCAACGAATAGCGAATTGGACGAAACGGAATGAAAATGAAGGCAACCCTTGTGTTTTCCGTCGCTCCAGGACCAGTTTTGGTAAAACGGCCGTATCGCCTTCGTTACTCGTCCAATTGACGAACCGTTTGCAGCTGTGGTTCACCGACTCGCAGGGCTACAACTTTGGCCAAGAAACCACGACCAAACAGCGAGTTTAAGATGGTCGAAATTCAGTCCAAAGTGGACTGACGGGATTTTGCTTACAGAAATCAGCAGCTCCTCCTTCCTCTTCCTCTTCTTCTCCTCCGTTGGCCTTCCTTCGTGGTGTTGTTGCTGGCCGAAACACAAGAGAGGGAAGATGGAGAGATGTGTGTTATGAATTTGGAGGGGTTACAGTTGATGAGAGAAGGAAAATAAGAGAGAAGGAGGTTTATATTGAGGGGATGAATGAGGAGTTAATTGGTTACTAATGGGGAATTAAAGGGTGAATTGAATGGGGAGTTATAGGAAATGAAGAGTGTGGCGTGTGATATGAATTGGGAGTTACCTCCCTAAATCCCATTCTGTTGTGTAAATTTTGACCTGAACGGTACACGGTTTTCCCCCCGAACTTGCCCGAATTGAAAACCGATTACGTTTTCGGAAATAACCAGTCAAAACTAAATTTATGATATATTCAAAATATTTTTCTAAAAACTTTATTTTCAAACTTTCGGATCCATCTCAATCATTAATTAATTTATTTAATTAATTAATGTTGAGAGGCTCGTTATTAAAATACATTAACTTTGGAAGCCTATTTAATGAGATCGAAATCTCAATATTTATTACTTAAAATAATGATTCTCATTAAACAATTCATCACATAATTTACCTGGCACCTCCCCTTTTCCATTCTCATCAAAACGGAGTGTTTCCTGCAATGGTGAATCACCATTCATATGTACTTGTACTCTATACTATACTAAGTACTTCAATTCTTACTTTTCTTAGAGTCATGGTTGTTCCCACTGGATCAACGGTCATGCTCAACCAACAAAGGGGTTCTCACGGTTGGTGGATCACCAAAAACCTGTCCTATTAGCTATGATGAACTATAGTCTTATCACATAATTTACCTGGCATGATATCAACCAATGAAGGTTGATTAATTTACAAATTTGCTCTTTCTCGTTAGGGGATGTTCTTGTATGTTTTCTTTAAAAATATATACATCCATGTCTCTTACATTGAGGATCTCTTAGCTTGTTGGAATTCTTGTTGTCATTGAGTCTCTTTGTCATTAGCAAATTGGAAATATGATCTAATAAAACATTTAGTTTTACAATTTCCTCGCATTTGAAATTAATGCAACCTACCAAAAGAGTAAAGATTACGGAGTTCTACCGAGTACTTAGAATCTAATGCTATTTTTGTAATACCAATTTCCAAAGAAATTGAATTAAAAAAATCCACTCAAAAATTATACCCCGGAGTAAACCGTTTTGTCATTAATACTCTGAAACTTATACGAATATAAACATTTTTTTTGGTGTAAATCGTGGTGACATTAATATATTTGATGGATTTACATTAATAAGATGGTAGGTAAGCGGGCAACAAGTTGCGCCGCCACCCCTTATATTTTGCTGATTTAAAAAGAAGGTTAATTTTAAAGAAATCACCCTAAATAGGACTAAAACATAGAGAAAAGTACCAAAATAGGACTTTCATGTTTTTTTTCTCAAAATAAGACTTTACACTGTGGTAATGTGACTTTCCATTGTGGTAATGTGGCAGTGTACATGTGCAAATTACTATACTTTTTTGGTAATGTACATGACCATGTATGGTAATGTAAGTCCTATTTCGGGAATAAAAACATGAAAGTCCTATTTTGGTATATTTTCAATGTTTTAGTCCTACTTTGGTCTTTCTTCCTTAATTTTACTAAAAATTAAGGATAAAGTACTACTCCTTTTGTTCAAAAAAACACTTTTTGTTTCATTTTTCCACTTTCAAAAAAACATTTCTACTCTCTATTAAAAAATCTCTTTTATCATATTATTTCTTACCCTAGCTATCACTTCACACTCTTCCTCTAATAATCTATCAATTCAATCATATCTTGCTTTATTTTATACATCACATTAAAAGTAAAATTGAAAGTCAACTACAATTTAACACTTCTTTATTTTACCAATTGGTCAAAAGTGGAACTCTTTTCAAAAAGGGAGGAAGTATTATTATTATACTATCTCCGTTCCTGGAAATTTGTCAAGTTTTGACTTTTTTAGGTAAACTGTTTTTAACTTTTGATCTATATTTACAAAAATATATATTGTGTATTAATTAGACAAAATAATATTTTAAAAATATTTGATATAATAAATATAATAAAACTATTTTTGTATCAACATATAATATCATTTTTATTTTATTTGAGGTCAAAGTTTATCAATTTTAACCAAAAAAATCAAAAAATGGACAAATACGCAAGGACAGTGGGAGTAAGGATATGGTTTCGTTGACACTGACCCTTATTATAATTATTCCAACACTTTAAAATAGAAATAAAAAGATCTTACTTTAAACATTAATAAAGACTCAAGACATGCGATTAATTACTATATTGGGAGTAGTGTGTACCTTAATACCCAGATCAGAAAATAATATTCTGTTCATCTTAGGTTCAGGTTTTGTACCACTTTAATCCTCCCCCCCCCCTCCTCCTCTTAATGTCAACTACGTATAGGTGCGGGAACGTGGGGTAAGCTCCAGGTCTTTAAGTATACCTTAATGAGGACATACAGACAAAGATCCAATCACCCATTTTTACCTGTTTGGTATGCTTCTTGTTTGTTTGACTTATGACTTATCAGACCAACAAAATAAGCTAGGTTTTACAATAATAATAATAATAATAATAATAATAATAATAATAATAATAATAATAATAATAATAATAATGCATTATATTAAAGTTTACCGACAGTTTTAGGATTTCATATGTCCCAAATAGAATTACAATTTCTCATTTATGTGGTAGAGCTTCACATTTTGTAAAATCAACTTATTTAAAAATTTGTGCTAGTATAACAACAACTAATAAAATTTATTTATTAAAAAATTACGTCAAAAGTTCTATAAAAGAAAAGTGATAAGAATTTTTTATTAAATAATCAACAAAAATACACAAATCAACAAAAATTGGTCTAAAAAAATTTGTAATCTAATTTGGGACGGATGGAGTATAAGAAAATTGTCAATAACTCTAATGGGTATACTAGGCCAACGTGTAACTATTCGTGCAATTAGCCGAATATACTTATCCTGATCGATTAATCAACCCGGCACCAAAGCCCCGACCCAAGGAGTTAATACGTGAGCGAATAGATGGTCAAACCCATTCGGGCTGAAGGATGAGCTTGATGGGCCAGACCGAGTATAACTTAGATTAGTTACTTGGAGAAAAGTTTGTCTAAGTTTGTTTCAATTCCTAAGAGAAGCCTAATAAGATTAAGAAGCTTAGATGTTATAAATACCTCCAGAAGGATTTCAAATAAAGGAGAGTTCTTTTCTTTCAGTTCATGAGTTCAATATTTTTGTATCTTTTTCAATATTATTTCCGTAATTATTTATAGATTCGCGTGAGATTAACAGTATTTGGAATTAAATTCCATCATTGGTGCTTTAAAAGAGAGACTAGTGAGAATATTCAACCATGCTCTTGAACATGGAAAAAAGAAAGACCAATAACGGTAACAAGGCTAGCGCAATGACAGGTAAGTCATCTGTCGTCGTACCACCTCCGGCCTCCCTCTACGAAAGGAGGAGAATTGCTCGCTCAGCCAACCCTGGGGGAGGCAACCATGAACAATATAGCGATGTTGTTGTCCCACGTGTTGAAGAAACAGGATCGAACGGCTGGTCCACCCGCTCTGCCGATCCAAAATGATCCATTGGTCGTACGAAATGAGTTGTTGTAACGCCTCAACCCGCGTAACTCAAACCAACGAGCAAGCGAATCGGGTTAAGTTGGTACTAAATGGTTTCCACATGATAGTAAACACTACAAAAAAAACTTAACATTTTGTGGCACCAAATTTTGCCACAAAACATAAAAATTTAGCCACAATAACTATTTGTAGCAATTCTGAAATTGAATTGCCACAAGGTTGTCATAGATACCCCATTACAAAAGCTATTTGTGGCAAATTTAAATTTGCCACAAAAATCATAGTTTTTGTGGCAAATTATAATTTGCCACTAATAATAATTTGCCACAAAAACTCATGTTTAGTGGCAATTTTTAATTGCCACAAATTATTATTATTTGCCATAAAAAATCATATTTAGTACCAAATTTATATTGCCACAAACTATACTTTGCCACAAAAGTTAGTGTCTAGTAGCAACCTTTAATTGCTACAATTATCATTTTATTGGGGCAAAATAAAGTTACTAGAAATCATTTTTATTTTTAGTATTACTATTATTGTTATAATAAATACTATAATTATTTTTATTGCATTTATATTTTACATTTAATGATAGATGTGATGTGAAAAATAATAATAACTAATATAAAACTCCAAATTATTATTAAGCATTTATTAAGTAAAATTCATATGTTTAGATAAAAAACAAAATATATGCTACCCACAATTCTAAACAATAACAATAGTTTTTTTAGGGAATCAAAGGTTCATAATGTTAATATAATAGAATTTCAAAATAAAAAAATATAGTGCTAAACATGTTTAATGACAAGAGTATCCTAAAATCTTTCTCTTATATTCATCTAAGCTCCATCTCTTCATTTCTTGTTGTCACTTCTATCTTGAATGTAAATCTCAACCAAAGTAGAAAATGAATGTTATTTCTCATATTCAGCCTTGATCTACAAATAAAAAACAAAAGTAATAAAACAAATAAATTAGTAAATGAGACTGTTAAAGAGACTAATAATTAAATAAGAAACTTGTTTTTATATGCCTTTGAATATATGAAACAAATAAAGTACTTGTCATTAATTAGTATCATGAGCAACATCATATATCCTAGTGTGATGAATTAACTTTGATGTGTTCTAAAGTCAAAGTAAGAAAAAAAATTATCCTTGGTCATAAAGGCTGCAATACTAAACCTTACAAGTCAAAAGGAAAGCTCATACACATCTTTGCCAAATTTTAGCATGATGAACAAATTGTTTATCAGTAGTTTCTATAATTCCAAATCAAAAGCAGATTACAAATAGTTTCTATAATTCCAAATCAAAAGCAGATTACAAATACAAAAGCTATGACCACATCAAAACTACAAATCCAAAGCATGCAAACTAGCTCCAGCTTCACCATCCTAAAACATACAAAAATGCCAATTTCATTTGGCTTAAACCATACTCCATTGTGTATTTAATTTGGAACCTATATTATACCACAAATTATGTGCAAAATGATCACAATCTATGAAACATATCAAAGACATCTGTCTACACATTCTTAAAAGTCCATATATTATATTTTTAATGTGAAGCTCATCATTTCAAGATGTTAAATATTAGACAAATGACTTCTAGTGATTGAAGATTTACCATCCTTCAAACTGCAGGAGATACTGCCCCAACCCAACACCAATATAAAACCAACCAAAACAAACCATCACATAAAAAATAATGTAAAATAGACAAAGGAGCCATAGAGATGCTGAAAAAAGAACTAATTTAGACCAAACTACTTAAACCCGCGCGTGGGTCCTAAACGTAGTGACTACCAGATCCTTGGGTCCCAAAAAGAAGAACAAGAACAAACCTATGAACTCCCTAAACTTGGGAGATTTCAAAATTAAGCGAAATTAACCCCTGGGAAATCAGCTCTACAACTTGTAACCTCAAGAAAGATTAAAGCCCTGAATATTTCTCCAAATACTTTAGTCATGAGTAGATAATAATATAAATAAAAGCTAAGCACATTAGCCTCCATTTTAGATAGTAATCATATTTCCAGTATCATATGGATATGCCCTCTATTTTAGTATTTCCGGTAAATAAAGAGCTTATCATTATAATTTGAATGTTGCCTTGTTAGTTGTTGGTGAAGGCTGGGCAAAGGTTAGAGATCAAGGCCAACAAAAGGGAGAAGCTAGCCCCATTTTACAAGAGCTACTACGGGCCTGTTCTTTAGGACTGGAAAAAAAGAGCTGGAAACTGGAAGAAACTGGAAAGGACTGGAAGAACTGGAAGAAACTGGAAGGAACGGGAAGAAACTGGAAGAAACTGGAAAAAATTAAAAGAAATTGAAAAAACTAGAATAAATTCTAAAATCTAAAAAAAAATTTAAAAAAGTTTTATGTGTGGTTTTACCTTATATAAATTTAGATTAAAAAATATTCTATATAACTATTTAACCATAATTTTTTAAATAGTTTCCTAATTTTTCATGTAGATTAATATACAAAAAAATGGTATTATTCATATTAAAAAGTTGAAGAAAAAAATAATCATAAAAATAGTGAGATGAAAAAATGAAATAATTTATAAACTATAGTTATGAACATAAAAATTGTAATTTAAAAAAATTGTAATAATAATAATAATTATAATAATAATAATATACTTAGTCCGTCCCTGAGTGTTTGTCCACTTTTGACTTTTGGAACTGTTCATCTAAGCACTTTGACTCAAAAAAAGTGCATTGGATGGTGTGCAAAAATGAAAGCGGACAAACACTCAGGGATGGAGGGAGTATTTTTTTAGAGTGATTTGTCAGAAGGTAAAAAGAATATGAAGAAAATAAATATAGTTGGAAGAAATTAGAAGAAACTAGAAAAAACTGGAAGAAACTGGAAGAAACTGGAAGGAACTGGAAGGAACTAGAAAAAACTGGAAGAACTGGAAGAAACTGGAAGAAACTGGAAAAAACTGGAAGGAACTGGAAAAAACTGAAAGTTAATAGTTCAAGTTCAAAAGAACATGCCCTACGTCTTGAAGAACAGGCCAAACAACACGGCCTAGGTCGCTGGACTAGGGAGCCTGGTGCTTCTGAAGCATCCATCAAGAATTTATCTCCCTCTACCATTCGTAACTCTAGTAACTTTAACTCAACAGGTTTCTTGGCTGCAAAAAGACGTTGAAAGCTATTGTTGAGCAACTACGCGATGGAAGCACACTCCATGTGTATCACTTCCAGATTTCTACTTTGTATCACTTCCAGATTTCTACTTTGTCCAAATTTCTAAAATGATTGCTTTTCATAAAACATTAAAAAATAAAATATTGTAACTATGATTTAAACTTTTAAGTACTACGTATTCTACAAACACATACTACCTTCGTCCTCGAGTATTTATCTAGTTTTGACTTTTTCGGTCAATTATTTTCAACCTTTGACCTTTTAAATAAAATATACATTGTATTTTATTTAAATAAAATAATATTTTGAAAATATTTGATATAATAAATCTAATATAACTCTTTTTGTATTAATATCTAATATCATTTTTATTTAATTTAAGATCAAAATTTACCAATTTTGACCAAAAAAATCAAAAATGAAAAAAATACTCAAAGACGAAGGAGTAGTACATATCAATGATATATTTAAGTTAAATAAGTTTTGAAAACATTGGACAAATTATTAAAAAAAGAAAATATCCTTCTATTTTACGAGTATAAAATTTTCAATATAATTTTTAAATATTTCATAATATATAATTTTATCAATTTAATGCTACTATTCAAATTAATTAAATTGATTATAACTTTAGTCATATATCATAGATAACTTAATTATTTTTAGATTGAAGAAGTAGTTTTTGTTATATATATATATATATATATATATATATATATATATATATATATATATATATATATATATATATAATTTTCAAAAAAAGTTTGAACTACCGGTTCTGTAACATCCCACAAACCGGCCTAGTATTTAGCCAATATTTTAAGTAAATAAATATTATTTATTTATTGAGACTCATTATTTTAAGTAATAAATATTGAGATTTCGATCTCATTAAATAGGCTTCTTATTAAACAATTCATCAAAACGTTAGGGGATGTTCATCATGCTATCCAGAATGCATGTAGGTTTAATTATGTGATCCAAAATGCATATAGGTTTAATATCATGCTCAACAAGCTAAGAGATCCTCAATGTAAGAGACATGGATGTATATATTTTTAAAGAAAACATACAAGAACATCCCCTAACGAGAAAGAGCAAATTTGTAAATTAATCAACCACCGCACTGCATCTCAGGCTTAGCTACATACTCGATCAAGAATTTTGAGTCAGAAATCATTTTTATTACTATTATTGAAGCTAATTAAGGTGGCCTTGCGGAAGCCGGGCGGGGCCGGGCCTTTCTCAAACAACAATACACGTACAATAATTCATCAATCTTCATCATCTACCTAGCTCAGGGTGCAATGGAAAGAGCTCTAAAGTCTCATCCCCTTCTTCTCTTCCCCATGAACTATTCTCCACCTCCAAGCTCTCAAATGTCCATTTTCTCTTGCATGGACTATTTTCTCCCTGTGAAAAAAGAAAAAAAATATTTGAGTCAACTACCTTGCGCGCCTGATATATATATGATGGAATGAAAGTATATATATATATATATATATATATATATATATATATATATATATATATATATATATATATATATATATATATATATATATATATATATAGGAGGGAGGGAAAAGAAAATGTACCCATGGGTCGAACGGTAATAGTAAGGGAGCAGAGGCGGAAAGGGGCTGCAGGGATGGCGGTGGTGTTCTCGGGCTGTGGTTCACCCCGAGACTGCTCCGCTTCTGCTTCTGCCTCTCTCGAGCTTTGTGGTTTTGAAACCAGTAAAAGACGTTTTTGCCCTCGATCTTCCCGTACCGCCCTAGCTGTGCGGTGATTTGCTCAATTTGTTGCGCGTTAGGAGTTCTCATCCCCCCTCTGTATAGCATCTCCAGGATGCCTATCTGTTCTTGTGTCGGGTTCCATCTAGTCCCACCGTGATGCGTATCCAGTGCCGCCGCCGTCCTCATCTGGACCAAACAAATAACAAAATTCACATTTATCAATACGTACTACTCTTTTTCCGTCCCACAAAACATTTCTCTTCTTCTTTTTTTATCTGTCTCAAAAAACTTCTTACTTCTACTAAAAATTACTTTTACTAATTCTTAACATACTTATCAGATCACATCTATTCACTTATAATTTTAGCTTTCACGTCCAAGAGTGTTTTTGGAAAACCAATTCCAAAATATATTCCTCTTAAACTCTTTAAAAGTCAAAACCAAAAAAGTTTTGTGGGACTAAGGAGTGAAAATGAATTGAGAAATTAAAGTGAACCCATAATACTCAATGGGATGGCTTGATTAATTAATTACCAGATGAAGTGCGCCGGCGTCTCTCTTGCACTCTTCATGAGGCGATCCAAGAGGGCTGCTGCTGCTGCTTTCAGGTCTAACAAAGTTCTTGTGATCAAAGGCGTCGGAGGGGGAGAGCTTGGGAGCCAGAGGACGGAAGCGCTTGCAGCCAAGGGATAGTGAAGGGACATCGTGTTCAAACACGGAGCCACCGCGCGTCATCTGATGAACCTTCATGTTTGAATTGCCTCCGGTAATTAAGGTGTTTTTTTTCTGTATTGCTTGATGGAATGAATGAAGAAAGTAAAATCTGGGGG